GCTCCGCGGGCTCCTGGAAGATCCTCCTCGCGGTCTTGCTGGCCAGGACGCGGGCCCCGCTCAGGGCTGGCGGCTGCAGGGAGACGTGTGTGAGTGGGGGGCGGCTTCGCTTCCCTGCCTCCCTCCCCGGCCCGCAGCACCCTCCCCGCGCGCTCACCGTGTTCTCCTTGTCGACCAGGCTTAGCCCCTTCAGCGGCGAGAGCTGCAGCTGCTGCGGGTTCGTGATGGGCGCGAGCGGGATGCGGACGGAGAGCATAGTGGCGGCGCAGCGAAGTACAGCCACAGGCCAGAACAGGATGGCTGGGACGCGAAGCACAGGCGACCCCTGGGTCCAGCAGCCTTTAAATCTCCCGTGCCGGCCCTTCCCATTCGCTTTGGCGCCCCGGCCCTTCCCATTGGCTGTGCCGTGCCCCCGACCCTTCCATTGGCTGCACCTTGACCCCACCCAGGCTGGCCGCGGGACAGCGCGCGATTTTCAAGCGCAGCGCGGGAGCCTCCGCCGGCGCCTTCCGGGGACCACCGGGGACACCCCCGTGGACGCCCCCCGGGACCTCCCGGTTCCCCCCCGCTCCGTCCGCTGGCTGGGTCGGGGGCGCCGCCGCCCGGGCCTCCACAGGTCCCACGGGACCAGGACCGCAGTCCCTGAGGGTCTCGGCGGCGTTGGCGCGCGCGGGCCCCGGTTCGCCTGGGAACCGTTTGGGATTACGTGAGGCGCAGCGATTGGAGCCCGCGGGCGCGCTTCCCCAAAGCGCCTCCTCCCAGCCGCGCCGCCGCAGGGCAGGGGACTTTGCCAACGAGGTTGGTGCAAAGGCCTGGAAGACGCTCCTGGGTCGGGGGAGGCGTTGCTGCGACCCTTTCGATCCGTGTCCCTGGGGTGGGGGTGCAAGGGCCCCGAGCCCTGACATTTGGGCGGGGTGGTCGGCGAGGACCCTACAGCCTAAAAGTTAGGGCTGCTGAGCCCCGCGGCTCGTTTTGCTGTGACTGGGACATGCGACCAGGCTTCTTACAGATTCGGCGTCCCCCTGAGTAAAATGGGACTCGTCACCGCGTGGGGTGTTAATGTGGTGAGGAGAGCATTCGTTGAGATGACTCATGTAAAATGTGCAGTCCTTCGTAAACCTTCAAACTCCAGGACACGGAGAGAAGGCCCTTGGTGCAATTTTCCACAGAAATCCTGTCTCCTGTCAGACCCCTGTCCCCTATTGTCACCCTTGCTTTAAGAATTGCAAACTGTGGCTGGGCGCGGTGGCTCACGCCTGTAGTCCCAGCACTTTGGGAGGCCGAGGCAGGAGGATTGTTTGAGGCCAAGAGCTGGAGACCAGCCTTGGCAACATAGTGAGACCCCGCCCCCATTAAAAAAAGAAAAAAAAAAACTTGTTTTAATTGCAAACTGAGCAAAAATTCCTGGGAGAAAGTTCACAGGATGATTTTAGAACTAGGATTTAATGTACTACTCATTGGGCATCAAATATGCTGAAGAGGAGTTTGAAAACTCCACTGAGGTAGAGACTGCAACTTAGCAACAGCTTTCATTTAATTGTCTATGTGGCTTTCTGATTTGCCAGGCCCTGCAACGGCAAAATGCCAAAAATAAAGGACGAGAAAGAAACTTTAAGATCCAAGAAGAAATCATTAACCTGAGAAAGCTTCAACAGCTGCACTCAGGGCTGTTATTGAGAGACTCGGGACTTTTTACAAAGCCTTTCCTAGATACTTTATAGAGGGTGGGGTTGGACAGATACCCTCCCCATCTAGGTCTGTTTCTGTCATTTCTTAAAAGTACTACGGACTTGTATTCAAAGTATTCTCGTGTTGCAGGGATAAGTGACCATCACATTCCTTACACAAAGCCACAACCAAAACTTTGGTGTAGCATGATTTGTTTAAAGCAACTTGCCATTCATTGCCAGTTTCACCCCCAAACACACTAAAGCATCCATCTCCAGGAAATTGGTATTTTTATTGATTACTTTACGGCTGATAAAGCTATTATCTAACAAAATTATAATTTCTTGGTGTAATACTCAACTCAGATTTCAATTTCCCATAATCAACGTCTAAAGCCCTGGTTTTGGTTGCCCTACGGCGCCACGTGCTTTTTTGCTCCTGTTAAACTCACTGTAACTGAAATAGCCAGAGGTGGCTTCACTTACAGTTTAGTTCCTGGCCATGTAACTAACATAGCCATTGTAGAAGGCGCGGAAAGATGCGTACGTGTTAGAGGCCAGGTGAAGTCGCCATCCTCCCCTCCCGCGCTGAACCTGAGTCATCTCGGCGTGGCGCTCCTCCCTCCAGGTCCGACATCTTTGCCCCGCTGCGGAGGTGGCGGCGCCCACGGCCACGCGGCAATGCGGAAGGTTCCGCCTCTGGGGGGTCGGGCAAAGCAGCCACTCCCGGGAGGGCGCCCGCCGCTGCCGCAGGCGGGATTTACTCCTTTTTCCCTCGGTGCTCGTTTTTTTGGTTTTATTTAAGTGAACAGACAAGGGTCTCGCTTGTTTGCCCAGGCTGATCTCAAACTCCTGGCCTCAAGCGATCCTCCCTCCGCCTCCTTAAGCCCCGGGATTCCTGGCGGGAGCCACTTGAGCGCGCGTTTTGACATCTGCATCTACTCCACCATTGGTCTGCACGGGAGGCCCCGCCCCGTTCCCCGGAAGGCTCGGCTGCATTCCCAGCCTCAGGTGCCCCACCCCGTTTCCGCTGCGCGCTCTCCCGCTCACACGCCCTCAGCCCGGACAGGTTTGCAGGTCCCCGGGCAAGGTTAGCGCGACTTCCAAAAGGCTGTTCCTACCTGTCCACCATTAGGGTGGAAAAACCGCGGCCCGGGGAGCTCAGCACTCACTGTGTACCAGACGCCGTGCCGAAGGTGGTCATAATAATAATTACGGCTGCAGCACCCACAGCCTCTGGGCACCTGGATCATGTGAGGCTGGTTTTTGTTTGTTTGTTTGTTTGTTTTTAGTTTTTTGGGTTTTTTTTGTTTTGAGACAGGGTCTCGCTCTGTTGCCCAGGCTGGTGGCTGCATCATAGTTCACTGCAGCCTCAACTTTCCGAGCTCAAGCGATCCTCCCACCTCAGCCTCCCAAGTAGCTGGGACTCCAGGCATGCACCACTCTGCTAGGCTAATTTTTAAATTTTTTGTAGAGATGGGTTCTCGGTATGTCACCCGGGCTGGTCTTGAACCCCTGGGCTCAAGCCCTCCACCCGCCTTGGCCTCCCAAAATGCTCAGATTACAGGCGTGAGCCACCGTCCCACCGGGGTTGGTATTTTTAACCCCGTTTCATAGGTGAGGAAATGAAGACCTGAGAGGCAAGGAAACTGCCCAAGGTCGCACAGCACAACTGCACAGCAGAACGTTTCTACCCTAACTTTTTATTATGAATGTTTTCAACATACAGAATAATGGAACGATTGCTAGCATTCGCCCACTACCTAGGATTCAACAGCTGTTTCTATTTTGCCATATTTGCTTCATGGCAAATATGGCAGACACCCCCTCTGTGAGTGTGTGAGGCTTATGCTTTTTTATGGATCATTTGAAAGTGATAGATATCATGACCCATTACCCCTAAACGTTTCAGCTCCTAAAAATAAGGACACTCTCTAACATCACCACAATACCACATTTATCCCTAGGAAAACTAACAATACTCCAGTATCACCTAATATCCAGTCCATATTCCTGTTTTTCCAATTGTTTCAAAAATGTCTCATAGTTTTTTGGCTTTACTTTTTTTATGCAGGATCTAATTAAGTACATGCATTGCGTTTGGTTATTATGTTGCTTTAGACTCTTAATAAAGCTCTTCCACTTCTTTTCCCCACGACATTGACTTTGAAGTACAGGCCAGTTTTCTTGTAGAATGTCCCACATCCTACATTTGCCTGAGTGTTTATTCACGGTGTCAATTAACTTGTTTTCCTGACCCCTGGACTCTACACTGGAAGTTAGGTGAAAAGGCTTTATTAGGCCCTGCTTGGAGGCTCACGCCTGTAATCCCAGCACTTTGGGAGGCTGAGGCAGGCAGATCACCTGAGGTCAGGAGTTTGAGAGCAGCCTGGCCAATATAGGGAAACCCCATCTCTACTAAAAATACAAAAATTAGCCAGATGTGGTGGCAGGCGCCTGTAATTCCCACTACTTGGGAGGCTGAGGCAGGCGAATCGCTTGAACCCAGGAGGCAGAGGTTTCAATGAGCCGAGATCACACCATTGCACTCCAACCTGGGCAACAAGAATGAAATTCCGTCTCAA